CATCAACAGACTCACAGCTGCTGAGGACCTGAGCACCTTTCAAAACTTCTGGAAATACTATAGTCTACTCTTGCAAGCCGGCATGGATTGATTCAAGAACACAAGGCTATCAGCTGGTACTTTCCAAAACGCAACTTTGTTTGTTTGCTTTTTGTTTTTCAAGACAGGGTTTCTCTGTGTAGTTTTGGCTGTCCTGGAACACACACTGCAGACCAGGCTGGCCTCGAACTCACAGAGATCCGAGATCTGCCTGCCTCTGCCTCCCAGAGCTGTGATTAAAAGTATGTACTACCACTGCCCAATGCCATTATTTTCCATGAAAAGCCCTGAAAATTCACCTTATTCTCACCTGTTCAACCAGTGAGGGTTTTTGTCAACAGATTATGTAAATAACCAATAAAACATAAAAACTGAGAGAGCAATACTTTGTTTTGGGGGGGCTTGATTAACCGCCAACTCACTGACAGTGTTTCTCATGACATCATCTTCCGTGAGTTCAGGTCATGTATGAGCTGCCCAGTTACTCCAACAGTAAGCTGACAGTGACGACACACAGCTCGCAGGGGTGCGGTGAGAACAGGGCCTGTTACCTCACCAGGCTGTGCCCTGGTTTTCTTTTCTAGGAAAAGGGGAAGAGGTCACTGCTGACTCCGGTTTTACCAGAAATCAATTGGCAAGATAAGAAGGCCCCAGCTTACACCCGAAGAAGCCATGGGACATTCAGAAATGCTCTTGAAATTCCTTCCCAACTTTTCATTTACAGGAAAGGAAGAAGGGGAGCTGATTGGTCACTTTCTCCATTCCCTTCTACAGGAAAAGAAAGAGGAAAGATGATTGGGCACTTTCTCCTTGCTAGTAAATGCCTTCCTTTAAGCTCCTCCAGAGTAATACTGCCAGCTTCAACATGCATGTAATACCTTAGAGCATTGATTCTCAACTTGTGGGCCGTGACCCCTTTAGGGGTCTCATCCAAGATACCCTGCATATCAGATATTTACATCACAGTTTATAACAGTAGCAAAATTACAGTTATGAAGCAGCTACAGAATACTTTTATGGTGGGGGTCCCACACCACGAGGAGCTGTCTTAAAGGGCTACAGCTTCTGGAAGGTTTAGAACCACTGACTTAGCGGTTTTAGAGAAGACGCCTTGTGAGAATAGGGTTGAACTAAAAAGGCTCACGCCCTTGATCCAGTCCTCTCACGCCCAGACACTGTCTCAAGGAATAAATTCAGGACAAAGGAAAACCCTCTTCTGTGTTCGAATGGCGGTCACAACAGAGAGAGGACAGTCACACCACAGCACTGTCTCCAGCGACCATATTGGCTTTTGGGGACTGGTAGGAGAGAGCTTCATTTAACGGCTCTGAGATGGCCTCTGTAAAGCCACCGGTTCCATGTCATCCCTGGGCTTGTGCTTTTGATCACACAGATTCCTGGACTCAATTCCAGGGCTATGGTAAGACGCTTAAGAATGAAAGCTCTCTGCCTGGTTTTGAGGTCCAGCCAGAACCAGACTAATCGACCTTACGACAGTTGCCTGTGTCCCGGAACAGCATAACAGTTCCTAGCGCAGACTGCCCAGAGACTGGTCAAGCAGCTGCTGGGGCGAAATGGCAGACCAGGCCAGAGGCCCGGTGTTTCCGATACTCCCTGCTTTCCCCCAGACACCCCTTTCATCACTTAAGGCTCCTTCTCTCACTGACTGACTCATCCCCTTCCAATTCCCATCCAGGGCCCCCTTTCTGGCTGTTGTCCCTCTCTTTCACTAGTTAGAGCCCCTAGAATCTCTCCTCTCCATTCTCAGAAGGTCTTAGAAGGAAAGCAATATCACTATTTGACTAATCTTGACACAAAATTGAGAATCAGCTTCATAGTTAGCATACCAGCTGTCACTACACTTCTAAAAGGAGGCCTTTCTAATCCTGGTGAACCTGTCATTTAGAGAGGAAAGGAAAAGCCAGAGCTTCAAACGTGGGCTTTCACCGAACCTAAGCATCCATACCCTCAAGCAATACTTCAAGACCTCATGGTCAAAAGTATCCCACTGTGGAGGAGGAATGGATTTTCGGCTGGATCTTGTTGGCATTGCAATTAAAATATTAAAATTATGTGATTTAACTCAAACTGGGCCAAGAAATAAACTGTTCTCTCTGCCTCAAATTCCAAGAACCTCTGTAATTCCACCCACAGGCTTCAGACATCCATCCAGATGTTCACAAACATCTCTAGGCAGTTGGAAGAGCTGGCATGGGAAGGCTTAAAACATCGCTTTCTAATCTGTTTTTTTTTTTCACATGTTAACACTATAAAATTTCTAAACCCTGTGTCTAGTCTATAGCTGGTGCTCAAAATGCTAATTCCCCCCTGAATACAGTTGACAGTGGTGTGGCTTGGGCAGTGGGACCAGGATGAAACTCTAATGCATAAACTGTCTTTGTGGAGCCCATTCTCCATGTTTATACACCTTGCTTGCTCAGCCTAGGCATGGGGTGGGGGAGGAAGGGCGGACACGGAACCTTGATCCTGCCTCACTAAGGGGACAGTCTTAGCTGACTTCCCAGGGGAGGCCTCAACCTCTCTGAGGAGCAGATGGGACGTGGGATGGGGGAAAGAGGGAGAGAAGGAGGAGAGATGGGGAACTGGGGTTGGTATGTAAAAAAATTAATTAATTAATTTAGAAAAAGTTAATTCCCAGCCTTTTACCTGTCACCCCAATTTCCCTTAAAAGAAATACTGGGTTTAATAGGCAAGTTTGCAGACAGCCTGCTCTCAGGCCAGCAACCAACTCATTTTCATTTGCGTCCATAACCAGGTCTTTACAAGTCCTAAGGGCCGGCCTTTGAGAGTTTGTTGTAAGCTAGACACTAAGTTAAGCACCTTGTATATTTTATCTCGACAACAACCTTTGGAGGTAACAATTTTCAGTTATTACTGCTGTTGTTAGAGCTGTCTTATAATTTAAACAGGAACACTGGAGAATTTCAGTAACTTATCTGATGTTCCCACGGCCCAGAAATAGTAGAACCAGGGCTCAACACGGGTCTTTTGTCTCTTGCTCATCTTCAATGTTATTTAGATTCCAGTTTTCGTGGTCCAGGAACTATTATAACATGCTGTCTCTCTAAAGGAATGTCCCTGGAAATGACAGCTGTGTGGCCAAAATGGCTCACACTCTCCACAAGAAAAGTTCACGGAATGTTTGGAGAAGCTTTTTATAGGGTCAGAGACTTGCTTATCCACCTAGTCAACCTCCCGTGCGGAAAGCCACCTGCGGTACCCAGATGATTGAAAGTCTTCTTAAAATGTGAAAAACAGGCATGGAGGTTTCCCACAGGCCTTTCTCTGCATCCACGATGTACTAAGGAGCAATGTCAGAGGCCCAGGAGGAATCTCAAACCAGTTACCAGAAAGCAGAAGGCAGCCTAAGGATGCAAATCTGATCAAACCTCCCCAAAAATGGCTAAAGAAGGCTAGAAAACTACCGAATGCAGTCTGTTCTCATTGAACCCGCCATTTGACCCACATCCTGTCTTTCTAACCCTATTCCTCCTGTAGAGGGTAAACTGCCTTCTCTTCTTGGGCCAGTTAGTCTCCTCTTTATGTAAAGTCCATACGGCCCTCCAGGTCCAAAACAACCTTCCCCTTCTCCATCTGCTGAGTTCCCATCCTTCTGAAGGCCCTACTCCTCCTGGCCGCTATAGCTCACTCCCTTCTTGAAACCCCTACAGCCCTGAGAGCCTCTGCCACCCCGCTGCCTCTCCTACTGTTTCCCAAACGGTACTTTTCACTCTGAATACTAGAGTCTAAGGTCCAGCACGGGATGGGTTTCCTTATATTTCTCTTCTTTCATGCCCAGCATCTTAGAACTGGTGAGCGATCATCAACTACTTGCTCCTTGAATAAGTCGTGACTTTAACTTGGTAAAATGCCTTAAACCAGTGATTTCCCAAGTTTTTGCTGTTGTTTCTGATGTTATTGCTACAACCCAGGCAATCAATTGGCAGTGGGAAACCACCTCAGATACTAAATTTAAATTGAATAGAAAAGTCTAGAAAGGGGCCATTAGCATTGAGGCTAACTAGGTAGCAATTCTGGATCCAAGTCTATATGATGTGTGTGTGTGTGTGTGTGTGTGTGTGTGTGTGTGTGTGTGTGTATTCTTTACCTAACTAGATAACTTTAAAACTGTTGCCTGTAGAAGTTGGAGGGTCCTTCGATTTCCTTCATCAAAAGCCACTGCGTGATGTTTAAGTCCCCACACGAGCAAACTCAGACACAGTCAGCCCCCCCCCAAACAGGCATTTTCTATATATGAGAACACCTCAGAAATCCAGACAATCACATTTTTAATGTTTTAGGATTATGTGTTACTTTCCAGGCTTCATGGGCACACACCTGTAATCCCTGCACTTGGGAGGTGGAAACAGGAGGATCCAGAATTCAAGGCCATTCTTTACTACAGATTGGCCAGCCTAGGCTACACGGGACCTCACCTCAAAATAAAAACAAAGCAAAATGACAAGGAAACCTCATTGTGTCTTGCTAAGACTTTGGAGAGGGGATACACAGCAGAGTACTCCCACCTCTAAGTTTGGGCTATGCTTTCTATAATGGATTAAACAAGGTGATTACAATGTACAGCTTTAAGGGAAAAAAAATCTCAGCAAAATTACAGAGGTCACCAAATTACAGAGACCCCGGGACACTGAAGAATTGTTCTTAAAGAGACAAAAGCCTTACCTGTTGTAGAATGCCAGATGAATGTCTCAACACCAAGACGATTGACTCCGGAAGTCTCAGTTGCTCCCCATAGCCATGGCAAGGCTGATATAGCCAAACCTTATCACTACTGCTAGTCCCTCCTGGGATCCCCCTCTCTCCTCCCCAAGGCTCCCACTGATTCGCGCTGGAAGGACGCCACCGCTGGACTGGAAGAGCTCAAGTCGGAGGTGGCGAGCCTCGGTGTGGTGTTGGAGGTGACTAAGGCAGCAGGAACACTCCGAAAGTGGCAAAAGCGATTACCAAGTTCCTGTGCTGAAGTGAGTTTCCTGTCACCGGCTTCTCCGCGGAGGGGTTTCGTCTGTGTGGGTTTAGGGGCGTGTGTACATGTGCGTCTCCGGCCGTGAGACTGAAACCTACCCAGCCGAGAGGCAGAAGTGGACTTTTGCTGCATGGCTGGGTTTGTGTTTAACATATTATTATTTTTTTATCCTTCCTGGATCATTTCTCTCTCCCAGTTCCCTCCAGTTTCCAACCCCAAAGCACCAACATACAGGTGAGAAAAGGGATAGGGGAAACCAGTGTGAACCTTTAAGGAAGTGAAACAGAAGAAAAATGATTTCACTGCACTAACTGGTTTGGTTAATTGAAGCTTAGGTCAAAGCACCTTAAAACTTAACTTCCGGGTGAGGATGCAATCAGTAGGGAGAGGACTTGCTTACCCCTGGCTTTGATCCCCTGTATCAGACAAAACTCTATGTGGGGCACACCTGCGATCCCTGCGTTCAGAAAAATGAGAAATTCAAAGTTGCCAGGCACGATGGTGCACGCCTTAATTCCAGCACTCAAGAGGCAAAAAAACAGATGGATCTCTGTGTGAGTTCAAGGCCAGCCTGGCCTATACAGAGAGTTCCAGAATAGGTGGGATTACAAAGAGAAACCCTGTCTCAAAAAAAAAAAAAAAAAAAAAAAGGAAGATGTTGTTCAAGGGCACCCCCAGTTACACAAGGGGTTCACGGCCAGCCTGGCTGCAGACAGGAGGTGGGTTCTCTGCTTCACTCTGCTTTACTAATAACGGATTGCGTTGCTGGTGTTAGTAACCGTTTAAAAGGAACAGGCTGAGCCCCAGCAAAAGCTCCAGCAACCGCCACACAGCAGCACCTGTGCCGGGAGGTACTGGACTCTGAGCTGTTTTCAGACTCCTCTGAGTTTCACTATTTGCCTAAAAACACAACCGTACTTGTCCCGTCCCTCCGTGCTAGCCAGGTGTAGAGACCATCTACAACAAGACCGACTACAGCCGAACCCCCTAAGTCAACCCTTTGACTTTCCTGAATATCAATGCCCCCTCCCAGGCTAGGCCCAGGCACCCCGAGTCCTGACTCACTGTAAATGCTATGGCCCAGGGTAGTATCTTTCTCCAAATCCCATAAGAACAAAGTCAACGACATTCAAGCCAACAAAATGAAAGTGTGTTTAGTGTGAGGGTGCAGCCCAGGGCACACCTGGGCTTGGAATACTGTTGTGACCTGATGCTGTGTGCAGACAACCCCAGGCAGGCAGAGTCGACCCTTATGGCACTAAAACCCTCGGAAGGGTTGGAAGACAAACAAAAATATGCAAATAGAATCCATAACTCCAAATTACAGCAACTTTCACAACAGAATCCGAGGCATTGAGCCCAATGGCAAGACAACAGACGCGTCCTAGAGGGTTGTGAGCGGCTCACACGGAAGATAAAGTTTGGAACTGTCACACAGCCCTGACTGAAAGTTAGAATGTCTTAGGTGCTGCTGTTATCAGCCCCGGGGTGCCACCTACAGAGATCTCAACCTTTTTCATGCCCACCGCTCAGTATTTTAGAAGTGCAGCTATGGCTGTCATAGACAAGAAAGAGGCAGGCTGGGGAGGGAAGGGAGAGGGTCCCAAACACAGGCAAATGGCACAAAGACCCTCAGGGAGGACAAGATTGGAGAAGTGAAATGTTGGAGCACCTACCAGTTGGGAATTGGTTCACACCTTTAATCCCAGCACTCGAGAGGCAGAGGCATGTAAACCTCTGAGCTCAAGAACAGCCTGGTCTACAGAGCGAGTTCCAGGACTATTACACAGAGAAACCCTGTCTCAACGATGGGGAAAAAGAAGGAGGAGGAGGAGGAGGAGAGGAGAGGAGAGGAGAGGAGAGGAGAGGAGAGGAGAGGAGAGGAGAGGAGAGGAGAGGAGAGGAGAGGAGAGGAGAGGAGAGGAGAGGAGAGGAGAGAAGAGAAGAGAAGAGAAGAGAAGAGAAGAGAAGAGAAGAGAAGAGAAGAGAAGAGAAGAGAAGAGAAGAGAAGAGGGGAAGGTTAATGTACCTGAGGCATGGTGTGGAGAGAGGGAAGGAACCAAACATGGCTTACAGATAGACACACAGAAATTTCTTAAAGGGACCCAAGTAGCAACTTATAGTGAAGAAGGACTTAATCTCTCTCTATCGAACACATGGTCTCTGTCCAGAAAATGCCCTATGGGAAGCTTGGTCACCATAGGGATATTATTAGGCAGGGGAAACACAATGGTTTGTGGATAGTTCCTTCTTTGCCCCCGAGTTTTTCTAAGGATGAGAGCAGCTCCTACAGACAGACACCTTCACCAGGTGAAATAAGTCAGAAACAAGATCTCTCTCAGGAGGGTGAAGTAAAGGATCGGGAATTCGTGGCCACCTTGGGGTACAGAGAGCATTTCTAAGCCAGTCCGGTTTAAGAGACCCTGTTTCAAAATTAAAGAAAGAAAGGTACGAATGCTGAAATGAGGCCAGGAAAAACCAAATACGAAAATTAAGCTTCAACAAGGGGTTGGTTAGGGTAAAACAGAAAGCGTCTGCAGAGTGGTTCTAAGCATTCTGGCAGGCAGTATGAAGCAGAGAAACACACGTAGAGAACTCAGCAGACTCTGGATGAAAATGTGCGTGTAAAACCATGCTCAAGACAGCAAGCCCAGGCACTCCAGATGCTGAGGCCAGAGAATCACTGTGAGTTCAAGGCCAGCCTGGGCTGCAGAGTAATAGTGTTTCCAAAACACAAAAACAAACCAGCAAAACTAGATACCTAGATACCGGGGATGATGGTCCCCTACCTCCCGGGTGCTGAGACTCCATAGATTGCCTCTGGATTGGGCGAGAGACGATGTCACGGAGGAAGGAAACCGCCATCTTTAAACAGCAGCACAAGTTTTGTGGGGTGAGTCCTCAAGTCTCTCTCAGGCCAGTCTGACTTCACCTTGACGCCCTAGGGATCCCACAGGGACAGTCACGACAGACCACTGATATACCAAGTGTATCTCATCGGGCGGCTCTAGTTCAATCCAGAAAGGAAGATGAACTTCAACTGTGCTTTAAGAAAGACATCGCCAACAGTTTTTCTCACCCAGTTTCTAAAAGCTTTGATACTCCAAAGCTTAAGAGTTCAAAATGATCCACCTCTGGGGGAGCAGGAGGGGAACAGTGGTTTTTCTCAGGTTGCCAGTGAGATGTGCCACCTCTTGGGAGGTAAGAGGAGCAGGACAATGGCAGCCACCCCCATGGACCGCCTCTCCTTCTCCAGGAGAAGATGTGGACAAGATGTACGGCAGCAGAGCACAGAAGCTCTAGGCTTCATCCTCTGCCTAGGGCCTTCACAAATGTGGCCATGCCCCCAGGTCAGACAGGGTTGAGGGTGTCCCAGACGTGCCCAGCCTGGAAGGAACTGGGAAGGCATAGCCACATCCGGCTGCGAGGTTCCTCTTTCCCATCCCTGGACTCCTTGGCTGACCACGCTTCCTCTCTGAAAGGCCTGCTCTCCCTGCCTGGAGGAGTGTCACTGTCTCTCTTTCTCTTCTTTCTGCTCTTTTAACGGAGTTAAATGTGGCTGATAAAGAGGAAGCCGGAAACTTACAAGTACACATAACGGACACATGCACACACACAGCCGTCGTCTCTGGGCATCGCTTCTCACGCTTCAGTCCAGCCTGGGGACAGAGGCTGGGGAAGCACTAGGGGCTCAGAGTGACAGGAGAGAAAGAAATAGTTCACTCCAGGCAGAGCTGGGCCACAATGGGAAAGGAGGGGCGGTCAGTAATCCAAGGCCAGTGGTCCATTCTCTTAGTTTCAAGTATCCCTTCCCTGAGATTCCTAGACAAATGTCATAAGTGGTACAGTTGAGAAGCAAAGACTTGGGCCAGTGAAACGGTCGAGCAGGTGGACACCTGCCACCAATGCTGGCGTCTAAATTTGACCCTGAGATCCACAAGGCTAAAGGAGAGAACTGACCCCTGCATGTTGTCCTCTGACCTCCATAATAAGCCGACCACCGCACAGACCTCCATACATATATCTCCAGACATACGCCCACCACCACACAGACTTACATACGTAAATCTCCATACATGTGCCTAGCACCACACAGACCCCCATACGTGTGCCCACCACCACACAGACCTGCTAAACAAATAGTAAAAATGAAATAGTTAATTTAAACAAAAACCATTTCAGAGTCATCCTCAACTCCACAGTGAGCTCACAGCCAGCCTGAGATATGCAAGCCCCTGGGGGGAATAAAAAGCCAAAGACTGTCTCAAATACACCTTCAGTTGATTTTAAATGTTCTCTGATAGGGCCAAAGGAGGTCTTGGTGTTTCTTCAGTAGCATTCCAAGCGTGAGAACCTCTTTCATTGAGACTTTAAATAATGTGCCGTCTGACTCTGTATTCTGAATTCGTAAGTGTGGTCTTGCACAGGCTTGCTGCCAGCTCTCATAGAAAGGCCTCTTGTATGTAACAACCGTGGTTTGTGGTGAACGGCAGATTTTGGAAACCTTCAGTAGGAGTCAATTACTGAGCTATTCTGACCCCGTGTTTGTGTAACACCTCTTTTTCCTAGCATGACTGCATTGCCCAAAATTATTTTGGTTCCATGGGGAGTGTTCGTTCACACCAAACGATGCCTGCGAAGAGCCTCTCGGCGAAACAGCTTTCCGAAGGTGGGGAGTGCGCACTGACTCTTGTTTTAATGAACTGAGTTTCCAGTCTGGCATTAGCCATCCTGGAACTGTCCTAATACAACTCCATTTGTATTGACAGTATTAAGACAAAAATACCCATTCCTTCTGATTGGGAGATTTTCATGACAGGGCTTATAAAATGTTAGCTCCACTTAAGAGAAAAAGATCTGAATTATGATATGTCGCTTTCAACATAAAATTATACTCACATAAGATACTCTTTAAAATTCTAAGTATTAAAGATATCTTGAAATGCCGTAGGCTAGAAATCTCACGAATGGCTTCCCCCGTGCGATTTCTATTTCATTACGAACCACGGCCTCCCTGACCAGATAAGAATACCATTTCAAACACTGTCTCGTTTCCCTCGTACAGACAAAACCATAAAACCAGCATTTCCCCTGCTGCTATGCTCATCATCTGTTTTTATTTTAAGATTTTAGCGGAGCATAGCATATTGCTGTTTTCCTCCTGTGACTACTGGGTTCTCACGACACCCAGCTGCCATTTTCTGCTCCGGTCGGTTTGCCTCTTCTATCTGTGTTTATCGAGCAAATATTTACATGGTGGGTCTTTTGCTTGCAGAGCTCTCCTCATTGCAATGGGTTGCAGAAGCTGACGGCACCCAGAAGGGTCACTCGAGCTAGGGCTCCACCGTCAGGGTTCGCCTCTTGCTGTGAGACTGTCAAGTAGAGCTGATGTAGACACATGACCGCTTCTCCTCCAGGCAGCCCCGGATGCCCTCTCCTTCCCCACTGCAGATATTAATCAACTGTCTTAGAGCCCTTGCAAAACCCTTCAGGGACAGCTCCACAGGCCGCAGACGAAGCCAGGATCTCTACGTTCTATGCACTTCTTGCTTTAGACACAAAAGAGCCAATTGCTCACCCACCTTACTCACGGGATAGAACAGCACATGACTGGGAAAACCAAATCCCGTCTATAAAGGTGAAGACTGGCGACATTTTTAAAGACGGGACCGCGGGCTCTGAGGGCAAATCCACAAGAGACAAAAGTGAACCGTGAGGGGAATAAGAGCAGCCTTTGCAAGGGTCCAGTGCATGAATGCCTAAGGAGCTACCGCAAACGCATGCCCCTTGTCGTAGGTTGGATTTGTCTCAGCAGGAGGAAGACGACAAGGAGGCCTCCTCTGCCTCTTCTCACGCTCGCTCCGACTGAACTCGTTGCCTTGATAGGGATCTTCAGTTTGGGCACAGACATCACAGGGGAACTGCAACCCGGCACATCTGTTCAGAGCATGGGGTGCAAGCCTTGTGGTTCCAGGGCACATCACTCACCTGCCAATCTCAGAGTTACTGATCTTGGTGCGGTTCTGGAGGGAACAGCTTGAAGCATGCATAAGGGCAGTTGGGAAGCGCAGAGGAAGGGTAAACTTGGCTTCAAACCAGACACATTTCAAATCTCAACTCCACTCTAAAAACAAGTCCTGACCGTCCGTTAGCAAAACAGGTAGATTCCTAGCAAACCTGTACGGACTGTGTAAAAACATAAAATAAAAAATATCCCTAGCCTGGTTCAGTGAGCAATGCCTCCAATCCCCAAATCCCAGCAATAGGAAGGTTGATGTGAGTAGTTCAAGCTGAGGCCCTTGTTTACGTGGTGAGACCCATCTCGTAACAAAGTAACTAGCTAAAGCTAGTTATCTCCGCATGGGATGCGGGGTGCACACTCCACGGGTTCTGCTACGACCACTCTCCTTCTTTGACTCTTTACCCAAGCTTAAACATCAGCTGCTGAATTTTAGGATTAGGGAAATTTTGGCAGTCCCTAAATTCTGGTGAGAATAAATAAACTCACACAGGCCTCCACATCACACACACAAAAGCGTAATGTTGCTAATCCTCTGTCCATGGGTTAAAGGGGCCCAGAAACGCTCAGATTAACTTTTAGTAATGCAGTGATGAAATCTCTTATACATACGCTGAACGTCACAGGATATTCCAGACTATCTCCTGATGTCAGCGCACTATGAATGCTTAGGATACTGTTTTCTCTCACTGGGCGAACGTTTGCTTGACTAGTTGGTGTTACTGTTTATCGGACACGGTGCTGGGCACTAGGAAGTCAGCATTCACCACCAACAACAAATTCAACCTCAGCTTCTGAGTTTGGGGAAGGGCAGCCATAAACCCCTGTAATTCAAGGACGCTTTAAGTTACAGTGTGCTGATTACTAGGGTGGAGAACAAAGCAAGCATGGGAAGGGAAGAGGTTGCACGTGCCAACTGGGCAGCCAAGAGAGTCTTTGTGGGGAAGAAGGCAAAGGCTTTTTGGAGCCATCTTGCACGTGCCCTTTTCTGTGTAAGCGGATCTTTGGCATCCACCTTGATCCCTAAGTTAGCTGTAACTTTCCTTGCTGGGTCCTGGCTTTCCACACGCCACCAGGAACTGGTCTTCTTGCCTGCCACGTCCCCTAACTCCTCAGCCATGAATGGCAGCCCTTCCTCAGCAGCAGGGGCCCCAGCTCAGGTTCACCCCACAGTGCCAGCCCTCCTCTGAACTCCCGTAGCCCTTCACGTTTCAAACCTTTCTTATATCTCTTCTCTGAATCCCCAGGTCTTTTTCCATTATCAGACTGCTGGCTTTTGTCTAGTTTAGAGGAACTAGAGCAAGGCTTTGGGTGCCTAGTGTGCAAATCCCAGCCAGAGTCACAAGGCCGTTTTCTTCTTCAGCTTGCTAGATGCTGTCTCTTAGACTGCTGTACCGTTTGTTAAGCACCTAACCAGTGTGAGTTGTGCACTTTCTATGAGTTTCCCTACTTAATTACCCTGACAGCTATGAACGGGACTGTATCAGAGTTTTCCGTGCTCACAAAGGAAGAAACCGAGGAACAGGGAGCTTAGGTATCTTGCTTAGGGTCACAGATACAATCTGGCACTGCTTCACAATGACAGCCATTTGAATTTGTCTATAATCTGCAATACCCTTGACTACAGGATACAGCCATATCCATTAAATATTGCGAATTCTCTCACATTAGATGGGTACCCCACCTCTCAAATTTGTCTCATCCTGAATTCAAAATGGCTTGTGAGGATCGATTTTAAACTTTTAAAAGCTACTATGATATGACCACTTCATGCCTGCAATCCGAAGACTAGAAAGGCTGAGGCAGGAGGATGGCGAATTTGAAGCCTATTTGGACTACACAACAAAGCCCTGTCTCAAAAATAAATAAATAAAACAACACCAACAAAACCTCACTGTTGTCATCACTGAGAGCAAGTTTCCCATTGCCCCTTTAGACAGATTCTCTCCGTCCCTCTCATTTCCCGCTCCAGTACACAGAGCACAACTTGTAGACATACTCAGTTTGGGGTGCTATTTTGATGAGCTGTTGGCACTACACAACTAAGTCTATGACCGAGTAGTGTGAAGACGCCCTTCATTTGCTCCCTCAGAAAGTTCTGGAAGCTTACAGGCATGCATTGGTTCACACACACGGCACATCACCGCCTTCTAAAAGTCATACAAAAGTAGAATTGCTGCGGACTGTCGACTAATCCAAACTGGTAGAGCTCTTGAGGGTAAAATGCGTCTTGTATGAATCTCCTGCCCAAGGTTAAGTTCCTGTCTTAGAAATACCCACTAGCCGGCAGCTGGAGAGCCGGCTCAGTGGGTTAGAGCACTGACTGCTCTTCCAGAGGTCCTGAGTTTGGTTCCCAGTTCCAGGTGAACATTGAGCAGCTCAACTGCCTGTAACTACAGCGCCAAGGGATATGATGCCCTCCTCTGGGCTCTTGGGCACACACACCACACACACACCACACACACACACACACACACACACATACCTATGTACGGTTACACATACACACATAAATAATGTAAAAATAAATCTTAAATGAAAGAAATGCCCACTTGGTCAATATAAATGATAAATACTGAATCACTTAGATAAAAATATGAATTCCCTTTTTTATGTGTGTAATCTTCAAAAAGGGAAATCTATGTTTTTTTATAAACTAAAATACAAGAAATTCAGAGCGCATCCTGAGTTTAAAACAGTATTTATTACTTGGTTTGTTCTGTGTATATGTTTTTGTTTGTTTGTTTGTTTGTTTAAGACAGGTTTTCTCTGTGTATCCCTAGCTGTGCTGGTATTTGATATGTAGACCAGGCTGGCCTTGAACTCACAGAGATCCACCAGCCTCCAGCTCCTGAGTACTGGGATTAAAGGTGTGTGCCCCCACACCTAGCTGAACAGTGGTATTTTAATTACGTGTAGCAAGCCAAAAAGTGTTTTTGACACTAATATCCAGAATACCTACAGATTTCAGGCCCTGCCTGAATGCAGGCTGTGTTTTTACAGATTCCACTCGCTGAATTAAAACGCTTGATAAACTCTTCGCCCTGGCAGGCAATTTTCCTCTTTTAGCTCTGTTCCCTTCAGGAAAAGGTTTCTGTCTGACCCTCTGGTGAATCTGGATCCGTCTGGAGCTTCAGAAAACTGAGTTCAGATCAACCTACCCATTCTTTTCATTTTTATTTTATTTTTCCCCGAGACAGGGCTTCTCTGTGTAACAGTCTCGGCTGTCCTAGAACTTGCTTTGTAGACCAGGCTGATCTCAGACTCACAGAGATCCTCCTGCGTCTGCCTCTCGAGTGCTGGGATTAAAGGTGTGCTCCACCACCGCCCGACTTTTATTTTTATTTATCAATTTGCTTTTTAAAATTTGATGTTGGGCATCGAACCCAAGGCCTTGTGCATACAAGGCAAACACTGAGCTACATCTTGCTCCCCTTATTAGCTTTACTCCCTGGAGACTCCCATTTGCTTAATATAAATGATCCATGTTGAATCATCTCTGTAAGAGTGGGAATTCTGGTCTCTTCCTTGCTGATATAGCCACTGTGGAGGGAAGTGTGCACCAGAACATCTGTACATTTTTATAGTCGCAATTCAGCCTGTAGATAAAATACATAACCAAGTAAAACAGAGGAGCATGTCATCCAGCTGACATCACTTCTGGGGAGCGCCAAGGGCTCAAGGACCAAGTCCCTTGTGGCTTCTACTTTCTCTGAAAGACGCTGATCTCAGTCTCTACAGCTATTACCTCACTCCCAGGAAGACAATATCAACCCAGTAAATCACAGAATCATTAGTGACAGAGGGGTGTGTACCCAATGTCCTCACTGTTCACTGAAACGAACGCCCACTAAACCTTTCTTATTTTTTATAACTCCATTGAGCAAGCCTACCTAAGTTTCTTCTGTAAACCTTAGTGTTGCATCATCCTCACCGTGCTTTGCGTAACAGCTAGTGATTTTAGAGCCGTTGGTTCTCAGAGGAAAATCGCTGAACCACAGCGGAGTCCAGCAAAGTCATCTTCCCGTTCTTCAGCCTCCCTGGGGTCACATGATTCCAACCAGATGTATGGCAGCTCTCAGACAGATCCTCCCTCCGTGGGAAACGCCAGAGGTTCGGGGGTGGGGGAGTTAAATCTGTTAGAAACCCTGCCCGAGCAAGCGCTCCCTTCAGAGGGGCAGTCAAGACTGGAAAACTCTCCCGGGCTATCTGCTGGTTATCTTTTTCTGGGAAGATAGATGAAGAAGCATGCAGAAACAAGAGAGTGGGGTTTCCAGAAAATTAATTCTGTGTCTGAGCTCAGAAAGAAAGAGGTAGTGGGAAATGTTTGATGCTCATTGAGGGAAAACATGTTTGTGGCAGGTGCAGTCAACGGTAGCGCGATAGGGTTGCCGACTTAGCCCGCTTCTGACTATTATCGTTACCTAAACTACTGTGGCTGTGTGCACTTCATCAGTAGAAGGAAAAGAAGTACTCGGCAATTCTCATAAATGGGTACTGTTTAAATTGCACTTGGAATTTCAAGACTAGT